CGTATACTTTCTATCACCCTAAAGAATATGTGCCCCTATGCTCTCATCAACAAAGAAAATCCCAATTATTCATTCCTTCATGTCTTTGGTTGCCTGTGTTTTCCTTATCTTCATCCCTACAATAAGCACAAAATAGAGTTTCAACTTGCCACATCTGTCTTTATTGGTTACCCTGCCAGACTCGTTTCGAGGATATCATTATTTGAATCTTGATACTAGGATGGTGGAAAGATTTTTATCGTACACCAATTGTTTGATTTAATTTGATGAGAATGTTTTCCCTTTTGCAGCGAATACTTCTCAACAAGTTGAGTTCCTATTTGTGCTCGAGATGCATATATTACCATGGATTGTTGTCAGTGCCTTAAGCTGACCACACTTTCAAAACAAAAAAAAAAAAAAAAGCACGGTATTGTCGCTCCCATCTCATGGTCGTGTTACTTAGACATAAAGGGACATGGTCGTATCGCCCCCATCTCATGGTCGTGTTATCTAGACATAACTGGACACACGGTCGTGACACTCCCTGAACACAGCCATGTTAGCGCCACCCCATCCCCTAGCGGAATCCACACCCAAGCATCCTCAAGTTGTTCCTTCCTAACCCCCATAGCACCAACAACCAACTCCAGTCTCCAACTCAACAAACACATCTTACTATTTCACTACATGACTCATTGTTCTACAGGTAACAAAACATTGATTGCACGTGTATAAGATTTTGAGCCCACCTGTTACTCTCAAATTGTGAAGAGCTCTGAATAGCGAACAACGACGAACTAAGCGTTCAAAGTCCTACTGCACAACAACACACGGAATTGAAACTACTTCCACCTGACCGGGATTTGAATGTGATAGGATGCAAGTGGGTGTTCTGAATCAAGAGAAAGGCCGATGGATCAATTGATCGTTACAAGGCTCGACTTGTTGCCAAATGGTTCAATCAAGTTGAAGAAGAAGATTATTGTGACACTTTCAGTCCAGTAGTCAAGCCAACTACAGTAAGACTTCCGTGATCTCCTACCCTAACCAAAAACTAGTTATTCTGCCAACTTGATGTTCACATAAATGACTCCCTTAGTGAAAACATTTTTATGAAGCAACCACCAGGTTACATATACAAAGAGTTTCCTAATAATATTGTTTGCACACTACAGAAATCACTCTATATGGCCTTAAACAAACACATTTTGCACTGCGGGGTTCAAACATCTTCATGATTACTTACTTTCGATCAGCTTCAAGGTTAAAAAAACAAATGCGTCTTTGTTTATCTATTACACTGCTAACACTCATATTTATTTATTGGTTAATGTTGATGATATACTAATTAATAATGTACAACAACAAAGGACTCTTGACTTCTATTACAAACAGGCTAACTGATGTCTATTTTATCAGGGATTTTCATCACTCCATCTCCGCATATTATTTTAACTCTACTTATACTGATTTCTAACTAGCATCATCTCTTGCATGGCTATAAATACATCTCCATGTGTATGTTGAAAACAAATTGCTCAATAATAAAAATTATGTGCTGAAATTCTTGTTCTCATCTTATATACAAAATGAAATTAATTAATATCCACTACTATACGGAAATGGATATTTACCAACAAACTTTTCCTTTAAACCAATCAAATTAAAGAATTTCAAATGTTAAGCTATGATTGATCATTCTGATCATCATCTCAACCACCATGAGCATCTATCTCGACGACGAGAGCAGAAATCGAAGACGATAACCTCTTGATGATGATGATGATGATGATCTTCTCCAAAAAGCCGAGCAGCTGGCTTGACGTGAGTTCGGCAGAGCGGACATGAATTCCGGCCAGTGCCCACCCACCGATCCAAACAAGCCCTGTGGAAAATATGCTGACACTTCAAATCTCTAACCTCTTCTCCCTCCTCTATCTTGCACAGACAAACTGCACATTCTACTGCGCCATCCGATTCGCCCTCGAAAACCCTTACTCCCACCACGGTGGCAGCATTTTCCGGCGACATTATTCCGGTGAAGATGTTGAATTTGTAGGGAACTTGGCATACAGATTGCAAGAGGAGGCAATCCCAAGCCCATTTTAGCTGTGCTGCTACTGAAACAACACAGTTTAGGAGCCTTGACTGCGGAAACATTTGGAGCAGTTTCTTGAATATGAATGTGCAGATTATTACGAGGAAGACGAAGATGAAAGCATGGGGATAATGGGGAGCTTTTCTCATTTTCTTTTGCTGTCACTTAGTCTTCTTCGTTCTCTGATCTCTCTGGTGTTTTAGAAGCTGTGAAGTAGTATTGTTCTCAGAGAGCTGGCTGGCTTGTTTAGTCTTGTGCTGTTGTGGAGGCTTTATATATAAGTAGGCTCACTAATTAAATACGGAGTATATTTTTATTATTAGGCATATGTTCAATAGTAAACACATGGGAAGCCAAGAACCTACCAAGAAACTGCAAATATAATATATATTTGATGTATTTTGAATATAGAGCGCAGAATTCTGATGTATTTCTATAAAATATTCCATGCACGGTGCACCTGTTTATTTATTTATTTATGAAATGGAGCACCTCTTGGTAGCCTATAATACTTCATTGGTAATACACATTTGGTAAGGAATAAATAGTAATAAATTAATTTTAATAAAATAATAAAATTGCAGAAATCATTAGTGTATTAAGCCTTACATATTATATACATTATATCATAGACATGTTGTTTGTTAGCTTAGTGATAAGTCACCGTCAATCTTGTGCTTTCACACATGTATGAACAAAATGGACGTATAGAAAAGTGCTATATACACATTGTTAAATTGGTATTATCATGATTGTCCAGGCCTCTGTTCCTCCTAAGCTAGGCATTGGACCTATGCTTATGAAATTGTGATTTTTCTTATAAGTATATACTTCCAACCACCCAAAACAATATGAGCCCACATACTCTCATCAACAGAGAAACTCCCGATTATTCATTTCTTCGATCGTGTCTTTGGTTTTCTGTGTTTTCCATATCTTCATCCCTACAATAAGCACAAAATAGAGTTTTGACTTGCCACATCTATCGTTCTTGATTACTGGACTCTTTTCGATGATATCATTATTTGAATTTCAATACTGGTGAAAAGATCATTATTGTACGCCATGTTTCATTAATGAGAATATTTTCCCTTTTGTAGCAAATACTTCTCTACAGGTTACGTTCCTAGTCGTGCTCGAGATGCATATATTACCGTGGGTTGTTGTCAGCGCCTTAAAGTCGACCACACTTTCATCAAAAAGGCACGGTCGTGTTACCTAGATAGAAAGAGACATGATCGTGACACCCTCTAGGACACGACCATGTTAGCGCCACCCCACCCCCTAGCGGAATGCATACCCGAGTATCCTCAAGTTGTTCCTTCCTAAGCCCCATGGCACCAACAACCAACTCCAACTCAACAAACACATCCTAGTATTTCGCCACGTGGCTCGTTGGTCTATAGGTAACAAAGCATTGATTGCATGTGTTATAGAAGATTTTGAGCCCGGCCACATGCTACTCTCAAACCGTGAAGAGCTCTAAATGGCGAACAACGATGGACAAAGCGTTCAATGTCCTACTACACAACAACACTTGGAAACTAGTTCCACTTGACCGGGATATGAATGTGATAGTATGCGAGAGGGTGTTCTAAGTCAAGAGAAAGATTGATGGATCAATTGATCATTACAAGGCTAGATCGACTTGTAGCCAAAGGGTTCAATCAAGTTCAAGGAGAAGATTACTCTGACACTTTCAATTCAGTGGTCAAGCCAACTACAATAAGACTTCTCTTAGGGAATGGTCATTTTGTGACTCGGCTATTATGACATATCTCGAGTTTGATTACGTAAAGGAATCAGAGGTAAAACAGATAGAAATTAAGAAGAACTGTAAGGACCAAGGGGTACCTTGCAGAGGCAAAGGTACCTTATATTGTTAAATACCTTCTGGACGCTTGACAAGTGTACAACATCGGCTAGTTTTCATTCTTGACCACACATATTCTCTTGGTGAGTTGGGGCGTTTGATACCCCATGGTAGTACACCGGTGATGGAGGTCCATATCTCGGCGGATGTCTCTCGACCAAGCGCAAGGTGGAGTACGTCGTCCGCCATGGAGGAGACCAATAGCGACACGATCGTCTGGTCCTGCTTGATCCACGCGTGATACTCCGGGTTGGCAACCGGAACTGCTTCAGCTGACGTCGTGGTCGAGTCGCTGGTGGATGGTGCGCCCGGGACCGTCGCCGGTGGGCATGGGTGGCTACCGTCCACGAAGCCCAGGAGGTCCTGGCCGCGGAGGAAGGAGAGGAGTTGCATTCTCCAGAAAAGAAATTTTTTCATCGTGAGTTTCATGGTAATATAATGGTGCGCGCCGGAGAGATTGTTTCCGATGGCCGGTGACAGGGTTCCGGCGGCGGAGACTGTGCGTTCGGATGATGCCGACATGATGGAGTCGGAGATCGATTGACGCAGAGGGTGAGGGAGGGAAAAATTGGTGGTGGAGGTTGAAGAGGATCGGATAACCTGTCTGATACCAGATTAGAGAAATCACCTCAGATAGATTATCACAAAGATAGAATTACAGAGTATATCGATGAATAAAACTCTAACTAATCCTAACTAATAGAAAGGCTAAGTCAACTAATCTATCACCACTAAAACAGAAACTATATAATATAAAATAATAATAATAATAATAATAATAATAATAATAATAATAATAATAATACATGACATACTAACAGGTAGTACCTCTTTAAATTGTTTTGCTCTAGGCTTAGACCCTGGGGTCTCATGGTTCCATCAAATATGAATATATCAAACATTGCCCCATCAAATATGAAGAGAGCCACAAATGTGCCGTTTGAATACAAATTATATTACATACATATTCTTTGATAACATTAGTAAACACATAAATATGTCACTTTAAAAAAAAAAAAAAATAGGTTGAGTTTTATTGATTTGTCAATGAAGGAATCAGATTGATTCGATGGACTGCAATTGAATTGAATTAATTTACAAAAAATAATTAAATTAGTTACTCTATAACATCCAATGATATGGAAGTGGCATATTTACCAACTTTCACTAAAAAAATATCATTGGGCTTTAAACATTTTAATCATCGTAACCACCATGTGCATCGATCTTGACGGTCAGACAAGAAATCGAACACAATAACCTCTTGATAGCGATCGTCGAAAAGTCGTCGGCCGGCTGACTTGACTTGAGTCCGGCAGAGCGGACATGAATTCCGGCCAGTAGCGAGCCATCTATCCAAGCAATCCCGGTGGAAAATATGGTTACACCTCAAGTCTCTAACTTCTTCTCCTCCCTCTATCTTGCACAAACAAACCGCGCATTCTACAGCCTCCAATTCGCCCTCGAAAACCCGAGCTCCGAGCTCCGAGGCATCGCGCTCCGGCCACATTCCGGTGCCGTCGACGACGTTGAATTTGTAAGGCGGCGGCTGGCAGAATGATTGGATAAAGAGACAATCCCAACCCCATTTTAGCTGCGCCGCTGCCCAAACAACATAGTTTAGTATAGCAGACTGCGGAAACAGTCGGAGCATTTTCTTGAAAATATAAGTGCAGATTGCTATGAAGATGATGAAGATGAAAGCATGTGAAGCGTTTCTCATTCTCATCTCTTAGTTTTCGTTTTCTTTCGCTTCACTTAGTCTCTGGAGTTAAGAGGATGGAAGGCTTGATTGGCTTCTATTCTTTATATACACACAGATCAGACACACATATATATACACGTGTATAATGCATGTAATTTATATTAATAAAATTTTAGTAGTATAAATGTGTTAAAAATGATGAATACAATAATGGCTGTCAAGCCAACCCTACAAGAATGGTGCGCAAATTTATTTAATTTAACTTATCAGCTTTGAAAGTTACAATTTTATAATCTTAAAATGCAAATAATTGAAGAAATTAAAAATATAAAAGCATACTGTTAGACCACCATGCGTGCCCCAATGCAAAAATAAATAAATAAATAAATAAATAAATAAATTGTCCTATGCACTTAGGTCAATGAAAGTGTTCTCTCATATTAGTGTCTCAATAAATGGCTAAGAAATAATTAATCAGCTTGATTCGATGATATTATTGTTTGAACTTTGAATCTCAATATTGAAAAGATTTTTACCGTAGGTCATATTTGATTTGATGAGAATGTTTGGCCTTTTGCATCAAAAACTTCTCTACAAGTTCCTATTCATGCTCGAGAGGCATATATATATATATATATTACTGCGGGTTGTTTTCAATGCCTTAAGCCGACCACACTTTCAAGCAAAAGGTACGATTGTGTCGCCCCCATCTCATGGTCGTGTTACCTAGCCATAAAGGGACACGGTGGTGACACCCCTGGACACGGCCATGTTAACGCCACCCCACCCCCTAGCAGAATCCACACTCGAGCATCCTCAAAATGTTCCTTCCTAACCCCATGACACCAACAACCAATTCCGACTCAACAAACACATCCTAATATTTTGCCACATGAATGACCCGTTGCTCGACAGCTAACAAAGCTTTGATTGCATGTGTAGAATGATTGAAGATTTTGAGTCCACCTGCTACTCTCAACCCGTGAAGAGCTCTGAATGCTGAACAACAATGTACCAAGCATTCAATGTCCTACTGCACAACACCCCCTGGTTCCACTTGATTCGGATATGAATGTGATAAGATACAAGTGGGTGTTTTGAGTCAAGAGAAAGGCTGATGGATCAATTGACCGTTACAAGGCTCGACTTGTTTCCAAAGGATTCAAGTTGAAGGAGAAGATTACTATAACACTTTCAGTCCAGTGATCAAGCTAACTACAGTAAGACTTCTCTTATCTCCTACCATAACCAAAAACGGTTATTTTGCCAACCTGATGTCCACATAAATGGCTCCCTTTGTGAAAACATTTTTATGAAGCAACCACCTAGGTACATAGAAAAAGATTTTCCTAATCATGTTTGCACACTACAGAAATCACTCTATGGCCTTAAACAAGCACGCCTTGTGCAGTGCGTGGTTTAAACATCTTCATGATTGCTTACTTACTTCAATCAACTTCAAGACTTCAAAAACTGATGTGTGTTTGTTTATCTATTACACTGCTAATACTCATATTTATTTAATTTATTGGTTAATATTGATAATATACTAATTAATAATGTACAACCACAAAGGTCGTTTGACTTCTATTACAAACATGCTGGTTTATGTCTATTTTATCAGGTTTAGGATTTTTACAACATCTCGGTATATTATATATTTTAACTTTACTAACCTGGGCAGCTCAACTGGTCATAGAATGTGCACAGTAAACTTAAGTTACCATGATTTACATCCTCCCAAATGCTCTATCGGGTCGGAGAAGAATATATTTTAACTCTACTACTTCTACTGGCTCTATCTCTTGCATCCCTATAAATATATCTCCTCTTATATGTTGGAAACACTATTGATGATCAATAATAAAAATTATGTGTAGAAATTCTTGTTCTCATTTTATATACAAAATGAAATTAATTAATATCCAATTGCAGAAGTGGATATTTACAAACTTTTCCTTAAAACAATCAAATTAAAGAATTTGAAATGTTAAGCTATGATTGATCATTCTGATCATCATCTCAACCACCATGTGCATCGATCTCGACGATGAGAGCAGAAATCGAAGACGATAACCTCTTGATGATGATCTTCTCCGAAAAGCCGAGCAGCTGGCTTGACGTGAGTTCTGCAGAGCGGACATGAATTCCGGCCAGTGCCCACCCACCTATCCAAACAAGCCCGGTGGAAAATATGCTTACACTTCAAGTCTCTAACCTCTTCTCCTTCCTCTATCTTGCACAGGCAAACTGCACATTCTACTGCGCCATCCGATTCGCCCTCAAAAACCCTCACTCCGACCTCGGTGGCAGCATTTTCCGGCGACATTATTCCGGTGACCACGTTGAATTTGTAGGGATCTTGGCATAAAGATTGCAAGAGGATGCCATCCCATGCCCATTTTAGCTGTGCTGCTACTGAAACAACACAGTTTAGGACCCTTGACTGCGGAAACATTTGGAGCAGTTTCTTGAAAATGTATGTGCACATTATTACGAGGAAGACGAAGATGAAAGCGTGGAGATAATGGGGAGCTTTTCTCATTTTGTTTTGCTTTCAATTTGTCTTCTTCGTTCTCTTATCTCTCTGGTGTTTGAAGCTGTGAAGTATTGTTCTCAGAGGGCTGGCTGGCTTGTTTAGTCTTGTGGTGTAGTGGAGGCTTTATATATAAGTAGGTTCACTAATTAAATATATTTTTATTATTAGGCATATGTTCAATAGTAAACACATGGGCAGCCAAGAAACTGCAAATACAATATATATTTGATGTATTTTGAATATAGAGCATAGCAATTCTGATCGATATATATGATGTTCCATAAAATATTCCATGCACCTATTTATTTATTTATTAAATGCAGCAGCTCTTGGTGACTATAATTAAGAAAGTTAATTAGTTGGGAGTTAGGACTATTTTATCCTAAAAAAGTAGGAGTCCCAGAAAGTTAATTAGTTAGGAGTTGGGACTTTTTTATCCTAAAAGAATAGGAGTGCCGATACTTATTACTGTAATTTAATTTGGCAAAATTTCTTATGCTACCCTCTCAAGGAACCTCATCTATGAAATGGGTCGGGTCACCTTCTTCATAAGTAGTACACACACTTTCTTCACACTATTGAATAATATTTAACAAAAAAAAAAAAAAAAAAACTATTGGGCCAGGTCGGGTTGCGCCCGCACTGTTGATGGGTAGCCCACTCATCGATGACGTTAGCTATCTCTTAGGCTAAAGATTGGATGTTAGGTCTAACTCGAAGGGGGGGGGGGGGGGGGGGGGGGGGGCTTGGTTGGTTCCATTGGATGTAGCGTCTCCTCTAGCGGCTATAGTGCCAGTCGGACCTCTCACGTTACCAGGTGGGGAATAGACCCTCACGTATCGAATTGAGCTCTGCCTCGCCTACTAAGCGTTTCTGCGAGTTCAGGGAATGCTTGTTTTGTGACTCGGACATTTTTTGTGTATTTCGGGTTTGATTGCGTAAAGGGAACAAGGGTAAAATGGGTAGAAACTAGGAACACTTGCTTTTCGTAGTGTTCCAATAGACGACGCTAATGATGATTTTGTCGGGACCAAGTATGAAATTATAGAACAAGGGTAGAAAATAGTAGTATTATTACTCGGGGCACTAAGCCCAAAAGAGTACGTACAAATTAAAGCACGAGATACCATCCCAAAACTGCCTCTCAAATAATACATAATGAATATTATAGCTCTAATAAGGGACTAGGGTTACTGTTGGAAGTCAGGAACCCAAACCACTTGTCTAGGAAGAATTGTAAGGACCAAGGGAGGCCTTTTAAGGGAAAGCAAGGATGCTTGACAAGTGTATGACACCGGTTAATCTTTATTCACTCTTAGCCACACACGTGTTCCCCTACTACTTTGCTTCTAGCGCACTTCTTTTGTATAATTTGAGCTTCTTGCCCTCTAATATACGAGATAAGTAGTGGCTTGGGACGTGTGTTGCCTTATGGAAGTTCGTTGTGGATGGGTTCGATACCACTAAATTGTTTTGCTCCAATCTTTCTTCAATTTTTCCCACCTCACTTGGATTAACACTTTCCCCAATAAAACCTCAGGGTCCCATGCATGGCCCCCATCAAATATTAATGTATCAAACATTATTTGTAGCCTAAAAAGTCAATACCCCATCAACGAAGTTTGATCTTGTGACCTCCCCTCAAGGAGAGTCACAGAAATGTATCTCATCTAAGCACATGTTATATAACTCTTTGATAACAATAGTAAACATATTATAAACATGTCACTTTAAATAATAATAAAAAAAATAAGTTGAGTTTGTTTGATTTATCATTGAAGGAATCAGATTGACTAGACCGACTAAATTAATTTACAAAAATAATTAAATTAATTACTCTATAACATCCACCAGGACTATGTGGTCCAATGGTACCCGGGTTGGACTTCCATTTGGAAGATTATTATGAGTTCGAGCCTCAGTGGAGGCGTTATTGGTTCTTTGTGTTTCAGTAGGTTGAGAAAGTATATGAACAGATACTACAATGTAATAGAGCCAGTAACTTTCAAAAAAAAAAAAAAAATTACTCTATAACATCCAATGATATGGAAGTGGCATATTTACCAACTTTCACTAAAAAAATATCATTGGATTTAAATATTTCAATCATCGTAACCACCATGTGCATCGATCTCGACGGTCAGACAAGAAATCGAACACAATAACCTCTTGATAACGATCGTCGAAAAGTCGTCGGCCGGCAGACTTGACTTGGGTCCGGCAGAGCGGACATGAATTCCGGCCAGTAGCGAGCCATCTATCCAAGCAATCCCGGTGGAAAATATGGTTACACCTCAAGTCTCTAACTTCTTCTCCTTCCTCTATCTTGCACAAACAAACCGCGCATTCTACAGCCTCCGATTCGGCCCCGAAAACCCTCGCTCCGAGCTCCGAGGCATCGTGCCCCGGCAACATTCCGGCGCCGTCGAGGTTGAATTTGTAAGGCGGCGGCTGGCAGAATGATTGGATAAGGAGGCAATCCCAACCGCATTTTAGCTGCGCCGCTGCCCAAACGACGTAGTTTAGTATAGCAGACTGCGGAAACAATCGGATCATTTTCTTGAAAATATAAGTGCAGATTGCTATGAGGATGATGAAGATGAAAGCATGTGAAGCGTTTCTCATTCTCATCTCTTACTTTTCGTTTTTCTTTTGCTTCACTGTACTTAGTCTCTGGAGAGCCTTGATTGGCTTGTAGCTAGTACAATCTATATATATATACACACACACATATATGTGTGTGTGTAATTTATATTAATAAAATTTTAGTAGTATACATGTGTTCAAAATGAGGAATACAATAATGGCTGCCGAGCCAACCGTACACGAATGGTGCGCAAATTTATTTTATTTAATTTATCAGTTTTGAAAGTTCCAATTTTATAACCTTAAAAAGGCAAATAATTTAAGAAAATAAAAATATAAAAGCATACTATTACTATTATTAGACCACCAAATCCACCATGAAATATTTCTTTAATTTTGTCGCATGCAAGTTAATCAATGAAAGTGTGAAGAAAGTGCGATCGAGTTGATGTTTGTTGAATAAAGAGTTTAGGAAATATGTTTTTCTATAAAATACCCAATGCCCGTATTTATTTATTAAATTCAGCATCATTCCGTGAATATAAGAAAAGTTAATTAATATTATATTTAAGTCAAGTTGATTAGATGGTTGACTTAGTAATCTCAAGATTCTAAGTTGGACTCTCAATAATAAAGAGATACTAAATCCACCATTTTGTTGTTAGGAATCTCCAATGACAAACTTTTCCTTTACCCTAGCATTTTCATAGTTAAGGGATCTCCAATGACAAAATTCTTTTCCCCAACATCTTCATTCTTTTGACAGCATAACGCCCATAGGCTATTTGGTTGGAAGTAGGGGTGTAAACGAATCGAATCGAGTCAAATATCTCAGTATTCGATTCGAATTCGACTATATAATCAAATATTCGTATTCGTATTCGTATTCGTATTCGTTTAATATTCAAATCTAAAATTTGATTCGTATTCTATTCGACCAGTTTATTCGAATATATTCGATTCGACTCAAATATTCGAATTCGAAATGCCTAATTTATTTTTTTACAAAATTTTCTAATAAATTAAGATAAAATGTAATAAAAATTTATATGTAAATAACATAAAATATTCGAATACTATTCGAATCGAATACACTCTAATTCGTATTCGAAAAATATTCGAATTGAAAAAAGTATTCAAATTCGAATTCGTATTCGAAATATTCGAATTCGAATCAACATATTCGAATTCGAATCACGAATCGAATTTTTTTTATTTGATTTGTTTACACCCCTAGTTGGAAGGAGAGAATTTTGGGAGTGAGGGGGCAGAGAAATTCAAATTTCATTGTTTGTTATGCAGGAATCGAAATATATATTTGATAGATATGAGAATTGAAATGGAAAGAGTGATATAAAGACTACTTTATAGTAGTAGTAGCAGCAATAGCAACAACCCCCTTTTTGATAAAGATGGAGGAGTATGATTCTACATATACAACACCTTTTTTTTTCTTCCTATCTAGCTTGGAAATGCAACTCTTGGGGGAGGGAGGGGGTGGGTAGGATTTTCAATTCTTCCCCAGCAAACAATGTAATTTTACATAGGAAAAAGTGTCCATTAGGCCATTAAACTTTTACACATTGTAAAATTGAACCATCGAACAAAAAAAAAGTGTGCAATTAAACCATTAAAAACTAAAAAATTACACATATAACATTTTTTTACAGGTTACTTCCAAGTTTCCCTTGATGTCATACTGTCTAATTATATATATAAATTTATTTTAATTATTATTTTAAAAAATTAGAAGTGTGGCCAGCGCCTTAAGCCGACCACATGCACTTTCAGCAAAAAGGCACGGTCGTGTTTCCTGGACAGAGAGGGACACGATCGTGACACTCTCTAGGACACGACCATGTTAGCACCACCCCACCCCGTAGCAAAATCCACACCCGAGCATCCGCAAGTTGTTCCTTCCTAACCTCCATGGCTCTAACAACCAACTCTGACTCAACAAATACATCCTATCATTTCGCCACATGACTCGTTGTTCTACAAGTAACAAAGTATTGATTGCATGTGTAGAAGATTTTGAGCCCACCTGTTACTCTTAAATCGTGAAGGGCTCTGAATGGCGAACAACGATAAACCAAGTGTTCAATATAATGTCCTACTGCACAACAATACTTGGAAATTAAATTAGTTCCACCTGAATGGGATATGAATGTGATATGTTGTAAGTGGGTGTTTTGAGTCAAGAGAGAGACTGATGGATCAATTAACCGTTACAAGGCTCGACTTGTTGGCAAAATGTTGAAGGAGAAGATTACTGTGACACTTTCAGTCCAGTGATCAAGTCAACTACAATAAGACTTCTCTTATCTCCTACCAATCTACCATAACCAAAAACTAGTTATTTTGCCAACTTGATGTTCACCTAAATGGCTCCCTAAGTGAAAACATTTTTATGAAGCAACCATCATGTACATAGACAAAGATTTTCCTAATCATGTTTGCACACTACAGAAATAACTCTATGGCCTGAAACAAGCACCTTGTGCGGTACGTGCGTGGTTCAAAAGTCCTCAAAGTCATGATTGCTTACTTTCAATAAGCTTTAAAGCTTCAAAAATTGATGTGTCTTTGTTTATCTATTACACTACTAACATTCATATTTATTTATTGGGTAATGTTGATGATATACTAATAATGTAGAGACTTCTATTACAAACAGGCTAGCTAATGTCAAATTTATCAGGTTTAGGATTTTCATTCCATCTCCTTATATTATTTTAACTCTACTTTTACTACGAAAGCACTATATCTTACCTCCCGGTCTATAAATAATCTCCTATTGTATGTTGAAAACAAGATAAATCAATAATAAAAATTATCAGTAAAAATTCTTGTTCTCATCTTATATACAAAATGGAATTAATTAATATCCAATTACGGAAGTGGATATTTACCAACTTTTCCTTGAAAACAATCAAATTAAAGAATTTGCTTAACAAAGCTATCATTGATCATTATGATCATCATCTCAACCACCATGTGCATCGATCTCGACGATCAGAGCAGAAATCGAAGGCAATAACCTCTTGATGAAGATCGTCTACGAAACACCGACGGGATGGCTTGACGTGAGTTCGGCAGAGCGGACATGAATTCCGGCCAGTTCCCAGCCACCTATCCAAACAAGAGCTGTGGAAAATATGCTTACACTTCAAATCTCTAACCTCTTCTCCTTCCTCTATCTTGCACAGACAAACTGCACATTCTACTGCGCCATCCGATTCGCCCTCGAAAACCCTTACTCCCACCTCGGAGGCAGCATTTTCCGGCGACATTATTCCGTTGAATTTGTAGGGAACTTGGCATAAAGATTGCAATAGGAGGCAATCCCAGGCCCATTTTAGCTGTGCTGCTACAGAAACAACACAGTTTAGGATCTTTGACTGCGGAAACATTTGGAGCAGTTTCTTGAATATGAATGTGCAGATTAGTAGGAGGAAGACGAAGATGAAAGCATGGGGATAATGGGCAGATTTTCTCATTTTTGTTTTGCTTTCACTTAGTCTTCTTCGTTCTCTGATCTGATCTCTCGGGTGTTAGAAGCTGTGAAGTATTGTTCTCAGATGGCTGGCTTAGTCTTGTGCTGTAGTGGAGGCTTCATATATAAGTAGGTTCACTAATTAAATATATTTTTATTATTAGGCATATGTTCAATAGTAAACACATGGGCAGCCAAGAACCTGCCAAGAAAGTGCAAATACAATATATATTTGATGTATTTTGAATATAGATAGCAATTCTGATCGATATATATGACGTTCCTTAAAATATTCCATGCTCCTATTTATTTATTTATTAAATGCAGCACCTCTTGGTAGCCTATAAGAAAATTAGTTAGGAGTTGGGACTTTTTTATCCTAAAAGAATAGGAGTGCCGATACTTATTACTGTAATTTAATTTGTCAAAATTTCTTGTGCTACCCTCTCAAGGAACCTCATCTATGAAATGGGTCAGGTCAACTTCTTCATAAGTATTACACGCACTTTCTTCATACTATTGAATAATATTTTACCAAAAACAAAACTATTGAGCCAGGTCAGGTTGCACCCCCACTTTTGATGGGTAGCCCACTCATCGATGACGTTAGCTGTCTCTCGAGCTAAAGATTGAATGCTAGGTCTAAGTGTCTTACTCTCGGGGGAGGGGGAGGGGGGATGGAGGGGGGCTTGGTTGGTTCCACCGGATGTAGCGTCTCCTCTGACGGCTATAGTGCCAGTCGGACCTCTCACGTTCCCCGGGTGGGGAATAGACCCTCACGTATCAAACTGAGCCCTATCGCGCATGCTAAGCATTTCTGTGGGTTCAGTGAATGCTTGTTTTGTAATTCGGTCTTTTTTGTGTATCTCGGGTTTGATTGCGCAAAGGGAACAAGGGTAAAACATGTAGATATTAAGGACATATGAGGCTCACATTATTCATCTATGTATTGTTCTAATTTAGCTCCTGTTGAATAGCTGTATATGTTAGATTAGTTGTTGTAACTTCTTTTCTACATTTTCTCCTCTGTACACTATTTATAACTGACTGAGCTTACATTAATAAACCACTGAGCTTACTTTCCAGTTTGGCGCCGACAGGTTCACGCCACCCTTGTTGGCCTCAATCTCCTCGGCTACGTTGACGGTTCCACCAAGGAACCGGCCAACTTCTCGAATGCTGTTCAAACCATCCCCAATCCTAATCACTTAATTTGGTATCGTCAAGACCAAATTATTGTTAGTGCGCTTCTAGGAAGCTGTACTGATACAATCCAGCCGCTCATCTCGTCGGCCACGACGGCTCATGATGCGTGACAACGCCTTGTTGCAAGTTATGCTAGTGCCTCCCGAGGACATATTATCTCTCTCAAGGCAAAGCTAACCAGAACCCGAGAGGCTCTCGGTCTATTTCAGCGTATCTTAATGACATGCGAGCCATAGTTGACGATCTTGCCTTGGCTCAGTGTACGATGTCTGAGGAAGATTTACTCGTGTACATCCTGACTCAGCTAGGAGAGGGGTACAACTCCATTATTTCTACAGTCCGCGTTCGTGAAAAACCCCTCTCGTTGGGTGAGTTAGTCGATGTCCTCACTGACCATGAACGTCAGTTAAAGGACGCAGATGAAGCACGCCAGTTGTTGTTGGCAACTGCTAATGCCACTCAGCGGACTTCGTCCCCTCGGAACTAATCGGTCCACTGTTATATGCAAGTTTTGTAACTTTGCAAGTTATGAAACGAAAGTTTGCCGCAAGCTTGCTAGGTTCCTAAAAGTGCATAACGTCCTCACCGCACAAACGCCGCCTACAGTCCAGTCCGCGCAAGCATCTCCACACTGGCTGTTTAACAGCGACGCATCGCATCATGCCACCTCAGCATCTCTACACTGGCTGTTTGACAGCGACGCATCGCATCATGCCACCTCAGCATCTCCACACTGGCTGTTTGACAGCGACGCATCGCATCATGCCACCTCTAGTCTCACGTCGCTACAGACACTCTCCGAGTACAATGGGTCTGATGAGGTTCACCTGGGTGACGGTCTCACGTCGCTACAGACACTCTCCGAGTACAATGGATCTGATGAGGTTCACCTGGGTGACGGTAATTTCCTATAAATTTCACATATTGGCCGGTCTGGCTACTTGAGCGCGCGTGCTTTTCGTAGCGTTCCCATAGACGACGCCAATGCTGGTTTTGTCGCTATTGCTCGGGGCATAATGAAAATTATTAAGAATAATATTGTAGCTAGTAAAAGTCGAACCCTAGTATTAGGGTGGGAAGTCAGGAACCCATACCATTTGTCTAGGAAGAATTATAAGGATTAATGGATGCCTTTTAAGGGAAGGTAATGGTGCATTATATACTGTTGAAGACCTTCCGGATACTTGACAAGTGTATGACATCGACTAATCTTCATTCATTCTTGGCCACACATGTGTCCCCCTACTACTTTTTTTTTCCGGGCACTTGCTCCCTGACCTCTAATATACGAGATAAGTAGTGGCTTGGTGAGTTGGGGCGTGTGTTGCCTTTGTGGAAGTTGTGAGTTCGATACCACTAAATTGTTTTGCTCCAATCTTCCTTCTTTTCACTCCACTTGGATCAAGACTTTCCCAATAAAATGGATCTCAGGGTTCCATAGCCCCATCAAATATGAATATAATGTAACAAACGTTATTTGTAGCCTAAAGAGTCAATACCCCACCATCATGGGTTTGATCTTGTGACCTTTCCTCAAGGATAGTCAAGAAATGTATGTCATCTGAGCACAAGTTATATCAACCTTTGATAACATTAGTAAACATATTATAAACATGTGACTTTCAATAAAATAAAAAAAAAATAAGTTGAGTTTTATTCTTTATCCATGAAGGAAATCAGAAATCAGATTGACTCAACTGCAATTCAATAGAATTAATTTACAAAACTAATTAAATTAATTACTCTATAACATCCAATAATATGGAAGTGGCATATTTACCAACTTTCACTCAAAAAATATCATTGGATTCTAAATATTTCATTCATCGTAACCACCATGTGCATCGATCTCGACGGTCAGAGAAGAAATCGAACACAATAACCTCTTGATAACGATCGTCGAAAAGTCGTCGGCCGGCTGACTTGACTTGGGTCCGGCAGAGCGGACATGAATTCCGGCCAGTAGCGAGCCATCTATCCAAGCAATCCCGGTGGAAAATATGGTTACACCTCAAGTCTCTAACTTCTTCTCCTTCCTCTATCTTGCACAAACAAACCGCGCATTCTACTGCCTCCGATTCGCCTTCGAAAACCCTCGCTCCGAGCTCCGAGGCATCGCGCTCCGGCCACATTCCGGTGCCGTCGACAACGTTGAATTTGTAAGGCGGCGGCTGGCAGAATGATTGGATAAAGAGACAATCCCAACCCCATTTTAGCTGCGCCGCTGCCCAAACAACATAGTTTAGTATAGCAGACTGCGGAAACATTCGGAGCATTTTCTTGAAAAGATAAATGCAGATTGCTATGAGGATGATGAAGATGAAAGCATGTGAAGCGTTTCTCATTCTCATCTCTTAGTTCTCGTTTTCTTTTTTCTTTCGCTTCACTGTACTTAGTCTCTGGAGAGGCTTGATTGGCTTGTACTCTATGTATACACACGCACATATATATATACATGTGTAATTTATATTAATAAAATTTTAGTAGTATACATGTGTTCAAAAAGAGGAATACAATAATGGGTGCCGAGCCAACCCTACAGGAATGGTGCGCAAATTTATTTTATTTAATTTATCAGCTTTGAAAGTTCTAATTTTATAACCTTAAAAATGCAAATACTGAGAAATTAAAAATATAAAAGCATATATACTATTACTATTATTAGACCACCAAATCCACCATGCATGCGTGCCTTAATGCAAAATTTCTTTAATTTTGTCGCATGCACGTAGTCAATGAAAGTGTACTGTTCTCTCTCATATTGGCGTCTCAAGAAATGACCAAGAAAGTGCGAGTTGAAGCTAGTACGTAGTTGATGTTTGTTGAATAAAAAGTTTAGGAAATTTATTTTTCTATAAAATACCCCCTGCACGTATTTATTTATTTATTTCTCAGTGGTCACCGTACCCATCATGTTAGTGCAGTAAGTCAAGCACGCTTAAACGCAAAGGTAACCATTTAACCATATCCTTCATTGGTAAGCCACAACGTCACGTCTTGAATAGAGCAGGGGCTGAACTCAACCAACCCCATCGACGCCCAACAATCCCCCTCCCCCACAACCTTTGATCACCAAACCTAGTTGCGCAACATTTCAGCCTGACTTGATCCTTAGCCTCCGCACCCACTAAGGACTCGACTTTCACCACGTCATCGATTCGAACTCGTGACATCAGCTTTGATACCAATTGTTAAATCTTAACGCTGCATTATACTTCCTTCCTAGTGGGTCACCCATTCTGTAATTGTTGTAAGTCAAACACGCTTAACCACATAATTTTTTGATTATCTAGTATAGTTGTCATATCCTACTTAAAACCAATTGGTAATAAGTAAGTCGACATTAACGATTTAACCACATACCTCCATATAGTAAGGCACATCGTTACGTTTCGAATTAAGTAGGGCTGTAATCAGCCAATTCAACCCACGCCCAACACTTTGCAAGCCACTAGTCACTATATTACTGGTTTACGAACCAACATTTACCGGGATCACCAAACTGTGAGTTCGCAACATTCATGAAATTAAAACTTCGTTTCCACCATTGTTGTTATTTCCATGCATCATTGTTGTTAGTTTGGACTTTGATGGGATTCATCCTTATGGATCTTGAACAAGTGTGTTTCAATTCACACGTCTTAATAATTAACCATTCCTTTTTCTTTTTTCTTTTTTTTTTTGTGAAAGTTTTATTTTCAAATAATTGTGAAAAATAAAATTTCCAACACCAAAAGTTAGAAAAATATTTTGTAGCTAGCTTTGCTTGTGTGTTTGAACAAGGGTTAGTTTGCGGTGAATATGGACGATTAACAGATAAATTAATTGATACCCAATTATGGAAGTAAAATATATATATATATATGTAAATTTTCCTTAAAATACAAAAAAAAAATCAAAGAATTTTGATATGTTAAGCAGCATTGATCATCATCTTAACCACCATGAACATCTATCTCGACGATGAGAGCAGAAATCGAAGACGATAACCTCTTGATGATGATCTTCTCCGAAAAGCCGAGCAGCTGGCTTGACGTGAGTTCGGCAGAGCGGACATGAATTCCGGCCAGTGCCCACCCACCTATCCAAACAAGCCCTGTGGAAAATATGCTTACACTTCAACTCTCTAACCTCTTCTCCTTCCTCTATCTTGCACAGACAAACTGCACATTCTACTGCGCCATCAGATTCGCCCTCGAAAACCCTCACTCCCACCTCCGAGGCAGCATTTTCCGGCGACATTATTCCGGTGACGACGTTGAATTTGTAGGGATCTTGGCATAAAGATTGCAAGAGGAGGCAATCCCAAGCCCATTTTAGCTGTGCTGCTACAGAAACAACACAGTTTAGGACCCTTGACTGCGGAAACATTTGGAGCAGTTTCTTGAATATGAAAGTGCAGATTAGTGCGATGAAGACGATGATGAAAGCATGGGGATATTGGGGAGCTTTTCTCATTTTGTTTTGCTTTCACTTAGTCCTCTTCGTTCTCTGATCTCTCTGGTGTTAGAAGCTGTGAAGTAGTATTGTTCTTGTTTAGTCTTCTGGTGTAGTGGAGGCTTTATATATAAGTAGGATCACTAATTAAATATATTTTTATTATTAGGCATATGTTCAATAGTAAACACATGGGCAGCCAAGAATTGAACCTACCAAGAAACTGCAAATACAATATATATTTGATGTATTTTTAATATAGAGCGCAGAATTCTGATGTTTTTCCATAAAATATTCCATGCACCTATTTATTTATTTATTAAATGCAGCACCTCTTCGTACTTGGTAGCCTATATAATACTTTATTGCTAATACACATTTGGTAAGGAATAAAGTAATAAAATAATAAAATCATTGCATATATTATTAGTGTTTTAAGTCTTATATATTATATTATAGATTATAGATATAGATTATACAATAGACAAATTTTTTGTTAGTTTAGAGATAAGTCACCGTCAATCTTGTGCTTACTTACACACATGCATGACCATAATGAATGTGTAGAAAGGCAGACATATTGTCAAAATCGGTTTCACCATACTTAGATTGTCCAAACCTCTGTTCCTCCTAGGCATTGGACATATGCCTACGAAATTGCGATTTTTAATTTCTTATCAACCGTATACTTTCTACCACTCTAAACAATATGCGCTCTGATGTGAGTCTAATTCTGCATGTTTATAGTGTTCATTTGATAATATTTGTTGGGCTCAAGTTCATGAATTTGTTACTTTAATGGCATATTCTCTTGTTTTCTAATTAAGATATGGTTTACACTTGTTTTGAATGCTTTATGGTGTTTGTGAGTGTTTTTGGAACCATTGTGGCCTAGTGCAAAAGCAAGGGAAGTTCTAGGACAAATTTGGAGTCAAAATGGACAAGGAGGCTGTTGCAGAGGATTGGACGCGTCGAGATTTGGACTCAACGCGTCCAAAAATTCCAGTAAGGTCACGGTGCGAGTACAGCGGACTCGACGCGTCAAATCCGTCCAGAATGTTTCGTAAGTTTCGGCGCCCAAACTTGACGCGTCGAGCGGGCGAAATCAGCAGTTCGGGAAGCTTCCAAAAATTGCACGGAAAATTCCTAAATGCCCCGATTCTGTTCCCGCTATAAAAGGACACCTTCCTCAACCCTAGATGAGATCGTCTTGTGTTTTGGAGAGAAGAAGGAAGAGAATTTAGAGCTACAAGTGGTCTTGGAAATCAAGAAGAAAGCTAATTAAGGAGATTCGGGAGAATTGCTTAATTGGTTTATTCTTGTACTCGTTAATTATTTGTGTTCCCTTTATTATTATTATGAATTCTAGTTTAGTCATGCTTGGCTAAACACTTTAGAGATTATTGGGTGATAGTATTTATGAACCTTTGTTCCTAGTTCTTATTATTCTTAGTACATTATTATTTGGGTTTTATACTTATGTTGCAATTGTGATTTAAATCGTAGATGCTTGTAATTAGTGGCCATAGTTCATTGTTTCATAGCTATCTTTGTGTCATAACGGGAGTTGGGCATAAATTAGGGCACACACACAATTACACGTAACTGTTGCACCTTGGGAGAATGCAATATATGTTAGGGAGTTTAATTCTTGATTATTGCACATCGGGAGATGGTAGTAGTTAGGATTTTATTATGAATGCTTGTTCTCATATTGTTGGATGTTTATATCACGGGAGTGGATATTCACTAGGGTTAGAGACTACGGGAGTAGCTCTATACCACCTTAGCATTCTCACACTTGTTTAAACCCAGATTTAATATTGAACTTAGATTGACACTAAGTAATTAAATACTTGAATCCCATGAATCTCATTCTCTCTCTATTGTTTCCACAAACCTGCATACTTTGTTTTCCTTTAATTATTTTAATCAACCATCCACGATAATCATTAGGATTAGCTTCACAAAAATAGAATAGTAGCTAGTGCTTAATACGCCCCACTTCCCTATGGATCGATAACTCGATACTTCAAGTAATTATTTGTTTGAAAAATATACTGCAACCAATTAAGCCCCTATGCTCTCATCAACAAAGAAAATCTTGATTATTCATTCCTTCATGTCTTTGGTTGCCTATGTTTTCCTTATCTTCATCCCTACAACAAGCACAAAATGGAGTTTCGACTTGCCACATCTGTATTTCTTGGTTAATTACTAGACTCGTTTCGAGGATATCATTATTTGAATCTCAATAATGGTGGAAAGATTTTTATCGTACGTCATGTTTGATTTAATGAGAATGTTTTCCTTTTGCAGCAAATACTTCTCTACAGGTTACGTTCCTATTCATGTTCGAGATGCATATATTACCATGGGTTATTATCAGCGCGAGCGCCCTAAGTCGATCACACTTTCAGCAAAAAGGAACGGTTGTGTCGCCCCCATCTCATGGTCGTGCATTGTTACCTAGCTAGATAGAAAGGGACATGGTCGTGACACCCCCTAGACAGAGCCATGTTAGCACTACCCCACCCCCTAGCGGAATCCACACCCAAGCATCGTCAAGTTGTTCCTTCCTAACCCCCATCGCACCAAAAACCAACTCCGACTCAACAAACACATCATAGTATTTCATCACATGACTCGTTGCTTTACAGGTAACAAAGCATTGATTAGATGTCTAGAAGATTTTGAGCCCACCTGCAACTATACTCTCAAACCATGAAGAGTTCTAAATGGCAAACAACGATGGACCAAACGTTCAATGTCCTACTGCACAACAACATAGAAACTAGTTCCACCCGACCGGGATATGAATGTTATAGGATGCAGGTGGGTGTTCTGAGTCAAAAGAAAGATTGATGGATCAATTGACCATTACAAGGCTCAACGACTTGTTGCCAAAAGGTTCAATCCAGTTGAATGAGAAGATTATTGCAACACTTTCAGTCCAGTGGTCAAACCAACTATATATAGTAAGACTTCCCTTATCTCATACCATAACCAAAAACTAGTTATTCTGCCAACTTGATGTTCACAGAAATGGCCCCCTAAGTAAACATTTTTATTAAGCAACTATCATGGTACAGAGACAAAGATTTTCCTAATCATGTTTGCACACTATAGAAATCACGTTATGGCTTGAAACAAGCATGTTGTGCAGTGCGTGGTTCAAATGTCTTCATGATTGGTTGAACTTCAAATGTCTTCATGATTGCTTACTTTCAACCAGCTTCAAGGGCCTCAAGGCTTCAAAAACTGATGTGCATGTCTTTGTTTATCTATTACACTACTAACCCTGATATGTATTTTTGGTTAATGGTGATGATATACTAATAAGTGAAAAATAAAGGTCTCTTAACTCCTATTACAAACAGGTTAGTTTATGTCCACTAATTTTATCAAGTTTAGGATTTTCACTCAATTTTCATATATTATTATTTACTTTTACTCGTTCTAGCTAGCATTATCTCTTTGCATCCCTATACATACATCTCTTCTTGTACGAACATGATTGATCAATAATAAAAATTATCTATAGAAATTCTTATTCTCATCCTATATACAAAAATGAAATTAATTAATATCGGATTAAGGAAGTGGATATTTACTAACGTTTCCTTAAAAACAACCAAATTTCTTAAAAATAAAAAATAAAAAAATAAAAAATAAAAAAAGAATTTCAAATATTAAGCTATCATTGATCATTCTGATCATCATCTCAACCACCATGTGCATCGATCTCGACGATCAGAGCAGAAATCGAAGACGATAACCTCTTGATGAAGATCTTCTCCGAAAAGCCGAGCTGCTGGCTTGACGTGAGTTCTGCAGAGCGGACATGAATTCCGGCCAGTGCCCACCCACCTATCCAAACAAGCCCTGTGGAAAATATGGTTACACTTCAACTCTCTAACCTCTTCTCCTTCCTCTATCTTGCACAGACAAACTGCACATTCTACTGCGCCATCCGATTCGCCCTCGAAAACCCTTACTCCCACCTCGGTGGCAGCATTTTCCGGCGACATTATTCCGGTGACGATGTTGAATTTGTAGGGAACTTGGCATACAGATTGCAAGAGGAGGCAATCCCAAGCCCATTTTAGCTGTGCTGCTACTGAAACAACACAGTTTAGGAGCCTTGACTGCGGAAACATTTGGAGCAGTTTCTTGAAAATATATGTGCAGATTATTACGAGGAAGACGAAGATGAAAGCATGGGGATAATGGGGAGATTTTCTCATTTTTGTTTTGCTTTCACTTAGTCTCCTTCGTTCTCTGATCTGATCTCTCGGGTGTTAGAAGCTGTGAAGTAGTATTGTTCTTGTTTAGTCTTCTGGTGTAGTGGAGGCTTTATAAATAATTAAGTAGGTTCACTAATTAAATATATTTTTATTATTAGGCATATGTTCAATAGTAAACACATGGCCGGGCAGCCAAGAACCTGCCAAGAAATGCAAATACAATATATATGTTGTGAATTTAATAATAATAACAATGTATATTTTTTTTGAATGCTACTAACTCTATTAGAGCTAATAACGCCTCCACTGAAGCTCGAACTCACAACCTTCCACATGGAAGTCCAACCCGGGTACCATTGGACCACATAGTCCTAGTAATAATAACAATGTATATAATATGTAAGAACAGCAGAATGAACAGAAGAAGAGAGATGGACTTTGTATATATTCATTCGTGTATTTCACTGGGAGAATGAGTACGACATTTATAGGATTGAAGGGAGATTAAATAAATATATCTTTTACAAGATAGGGACAGATATCCAAGCTAGGCAAAGTAGCGTGTCATTTGCTTTGAGTATCCAACATTGTAAGAAGACATGTGTTCAATTCCTAGCTTCTACTTCTACTTGTGAACTAGTAGTTAACCTTTTGGAATCTGTAGTCTAGCTGCTTGAGGTCTCCTTCTCCAACATCATCTTTAACGGGGACATTCACTTTTTTTTTTTTTTTTTTTTTTTTTTTTTGAAGGCTACTGACTCTATTACATTGTAGGATATATATTTGATGTATTTTGAATATAGA